GATACATTTATTTAAGTTTTGTTAGCCAAATAATCCAAAATGTAAATATAAGGAAATGAATGAAATATTTAGTTAATTATGAAAGAAAGAACAGGTAAATAAATTACAAAAATTTGCAGGGAGACACCCATTTGGAAAGCTCTGATCTAGAGATTGCTTTGGAACTAATTCACATTGTAAAACACTCAGTGCTGGAATAAAGAGAGGATGTGTGAGTGGTGTAATGGATAGCAGCTTTGAATAAGAAATCTGAGAGATGAGTTCAAATTCCAGTTGAGTTAGTTACATTCAAGTGTACCAGAATACAACAGCTGGCTGACCAACTGTTGTATTTTGATACACCAATTAGTAGACTAAAAAAAAAAAAAAGACATAAAAAGTGTATTTATTTACAAGGTTTGAAGAAGGATGGTCCTTGCTATGACCTCCAGACTTAATTCACTCAAAGACATTGAGAAAGCAGTTGTATTCTTAAATGGACATGACTTGAGTTTTTTAGGTTAATGTTTTAGTTCTGTAGCAATATGTGGCATTGGGTGAAACTACCTTGAGCACCACCTATTCTCTATTCAAATTCCTTATCTCTTATACTAAATTTGTATTTAAGGTATTTGAAATGTGTAGTATTTATTAATTCTACATCCTGAATTTTTATGATGACTTCAGAGTAGGTGCCATAAGAATGTTTTGATTTAATTTGAAACTTTTTCTTTAAATATCTTCTTTTACAACACGACTAACACTACAATTGGAACCTCTAATATTCTTCTGAGTCAATCATGTAAATGGTTTCTTTGTGTATTTAGGCAGAAGCAGCTAGAACTTTTGTATTGATGATCTATAGCCTTAATCTGTTTAATTATCTTTCTCCTTATTGAACAAACCATTGAGAGTGCCAATGCATTTACATAAAAATCCATATTGTCTTGGCATTCTCTGTAGAAGTGATTGTCAAAATAGAAGCTGTATCTTGGACGCTTTCCCACGGATATCCATAAATGGAGTAATCAGCTTCTCTTCCTCAATACAAACCTTCCTTCCTGCCTTAAAAAAAAGTTCCCTATTGAAATCGACTTTACAATTTGATTGAATTTGGTCTGGTTGTCTCCTTAGTGTCAGTTCAAAATGGAGTAGCAGACTTGTGTACATTTTTTATTTTTTTAATTGGATTCATTCACAAAACAGTTTTGTTGTTTATCTCTGTCTCTCTCTCTCTCTCTCTCTCTCTATATATATATATATATATATATATATATATCTATATATATATCTCATATATATATATATATATATATATATATATATATATATATATATATATATCTCTCCGTCTCTCTCTCTATATATATATATATCTCTCCTCTCTCTCTCTCTCTCTATATATATATATATATATATCCGTCTATCTCTCTCTCTATATATATATATATATATATATATATATATATCTCTCTCTCTCTCTCTCTATATATATATATATATATATATATATATATATATATATATATATCTCCGTCTATCTCTCTCTATATATATCCTCTGTCTATCTATCCCTTCATCTGTCTCTTTCCATCTCCATCTCTTCATATATATCCCTTCATCTGTCTCTTTCCATCTCCATCTCTTCATATCTCCTATCTATCTTTCCATCCCTTCATCTGTCTCTTTCCATCTCCATCTCTTCATATCTCTGTCTATCTCTTTTCCATCCTTCATCTGTCTCTTTTCCATCTCCATCTCTTCATATCTCTGTCTATCTCTTTCCATCCCTTCATCTGTCTCTTTCCATCTCCATCTCTTCATATCTCTGTCTATCTCTTTCCATCCCTTCATCTGTCTCTTTCCATCTCCATCTCTTCATATCTCTGTCTATCTCTTTCCATCCCTTCATCTGTCTCTTTCCATCTCCATCTCTTCCATCTCTGTCTATCTTTTCCATCCCATCTGTCTTTTCCATCTCCATCTCTTCATTTCTGTCTATCTTTTCCATCCCTTCATCTGTCTCTTTCCATCTCCATCTCTTCATATCTCTTTCTATCTCTTTCCATTTCTCGCTATCTCTCTCTCCATCAAGGTTTTTCTAATGAAAAATTGTGCCTCCGACAGGAGTCTAATCTATATCCCTTTTATTCCATCAGAGAAACCGCTGTTTTTACTCAGTGTGCCGCTGTCAGTTTCACTATAGAGAATAGCCTGACAGAGCAAGATTTGAATTAGATATTTAAGGAAACCACATCTTTCATTGGGACGTGTCCAAAACTACATCGGCTAGCTTCCTATTTGTACCAGAAACGTAAACAACAGTAACTTTTTCAGTGATTTTTTTTTTTTTTTTTTTTTTTTTTTTTAAATATATCTAACATTATTTCTTATTACTATAAACATTATTTTTTGCTCTATGTATGCTTAATGCACAGGGAACTGACAGTCATAGTTGGCTAGATCTATATTGGATGATTATAATAAATATAAAAGCTCTGCTCTTTCATCATTGAGCTCTCTCTCTTACTTTCTTTTTTTTTTTTTTTTTTTTTTTTTTTTTTGTGTGTGTGTGTGACAGAGAGAGACCATAAGTGTGCTTCTTCAGGAATCTTTTGTTATTTTTGTTTTGTTTGAATATATATGCTCTGGTATGGAGACTTTTGTTTGAATATGCTTTGGTATGGAGACTTTTGAAACCTGACAGTTATGTGCAATTTTTTCTGTAAGCTCCTTTGCCAAGGTCCTATTGTTCTTGTGCACTTTGCTGATGCACTGAAAAATCTATCCTGGTGTTCTGGGTGTCCCCCTCAAATACCAGTGGCTTTTATGGTTATTCCATTCTTGGCTGTATTAGCATTCCCTCCTCATTGAGTTTAGGAGTGAGTATATTACATGTGTTCACCAGCTACCCTCATTAACCTAGTCAAAGAGGGTATAAATACCGGTATCACTGAAAAGACCAATGCTAATCATTTGAAGAATGCATGCATAGTGTGCAAGAAACTGACAGTGATGGTTGGTCCTGTCAGACCTGGAGATAACACCAGATTATGATGGTAATCCTTCATCTATCAAGTCAAAGAGTCCGGTTCCTTTAATAACTAATGAGAACACTTGTCAAACAAGTGGAGAAATAATGTTAGTTAAATGATGATGCTGAACCAGATACAGGGGACTTAGTTGAGATTGAACCACTAGCAGATTCACAGGTGACCAGCTGAGGTTGTTGAGTTTCTGAAACTTGGGCAAATAATAATTAGTAAATTTCAAAATAAGAGAGTGGGGGAGAATGGATAGGATAGGCAGAACAGGCAGTGCAATTAGAAATAAATATATGATGAATGCTGTCATGTATCAGAATAAGATTCTTTTGATTAGGCTTGTCTTAGAATGAAAAACAAATGATGTAGAGTAGATATCTGATCATGAAAATTACGAGGCAATAGAAAAGGAAAATAAAATATTTGAGCAAGTTCCTGATAATGATCTGTTAATACATAAAAAATAGGCTTATTATAGCAAGACTATTATGTGAGAGATATGGAAGAAAGCTTTATTCTCTCATTTGTATTTCCCCCATTATGGGCATTATAATATCCATGGTATAACAACACTGTATTTCCTGGATGGAATGAAATGGCTGAAAGTAAAAAGAATGACAAACATGCTTTGTTTTCAGAGAGACTTTTATGCCACTAAGACATACACAAAACTATATATACATATTCACACATCTTACACAGAGAAAAAGATAATATCTACACGGCAAGGAGAATGAAAAGATAGGGTCTTACGTAAAATATGGAGATTATTCCATGTTTCTGGATGAGCCATATTTAGGATTCCAGATTCAAGCAGGCTGGATTAATCTGCTATGTTCCATGAAGGGGAAATGGCGAGTCTTGGGTTTTTCCAAATTGACAACTGCAAGCCAGAGTTTCTTTCTGTATATGGGGAAGATATATTCCCAAAGGGAAATGGCACCATGGACATGTAAGCTGTTAGGGGGAAGGCAGATTTAGCTCCACCCTGGGGCCCCTTGGCTTGAACTAAAAAAAAAAACAAAAAAAACAAGCAACCACTTGATTTGGCTACTGCAAACCGACTGAATGAATGGCCACTTTCGTCACTGTATGAAGTGACATCACTAAGGAAACCAAGTGACTTATCTATACCAAAGGGAGATAATCGTCTTCTGTATCCCTACAACTGGGTGCAAAAAGCTTTCAAGTATTGAAGCAGACAAGATTAGAAGTGATTCACTTGCATGTTCTAAGGAAGGTTTTGTGGTTGTTATTGGAATATCTTCAAATAGATGAACATTAAAACTGCATTCCTGCAAAGAAAAAGCAAGTTTGTGTTCTCTTTCTGAGGCTAATCTGCAACAGGGTTACCTTTTTTGGAAGCTGTCAAATTGTATATATGGATTGTTAGATGTCTCTTGTGCATGATAAGAAGGAAATAAGGTTGCAAATATATCCTTCAAAATATGACCAGGCCATTTTTATATGGTATTTTATATTGTAAATTGTATGGAATTATCATCACTCGTTGAATTGTTCTTTTTTTTATCATACTGTGGACCAGTTTTGAAAGGTTTTCAAAGTTAAATCAGAAGAATCAACCAATTTTAAATATTTGGGCTTGAATTTAAAATTCTTGAAGAGTGTAATCCTTGAGTGAGATATATTAAAAACTCAGTGCCTAACTCATTGGGAAGTAGGAAGATAATGCAAAAAGAAGTTACAAAAGTTAGTCAATTGATTGGTCAGTTCAAACTGGCAGGCAAGTAAATCTGAGTTATGATAAGAGTGAACTCAGCTCAGTATTGAAGCAGGAAAATGTTGACTTTATTAAACACATCAATAAAGCTCTTAAGATATTTAAGAGAGAATGTTATTCCTTTTTTGGATAATCTTGAAAAAAGTAAAGATTATTGCTGACAATGATGTCACATTAACTAAACTATTGGATAGAGAAGATATATATTATTTGGGGTTGGTGATAAAGACAGGTACATGTTTTGTTTCTTTTTTCTCCCCCCCTTTTTTTTCTTTTTCTCATTCTTTTTTCTTTTTCTCATTCTTTTTTCTTTTTCTCCCTCTTTTTTTCCTTTTTCTCCCTCTTTTTCTTTTTCTCCCTTTCTCTCCTTTCCTCTTTTCTCCCACCTTTTCCTCTTTCCCCTTTTCTCCCACCTTTTCCTCTTTCCCCTTTTCTCCCACCTTTTCCTCTTTCCCCTTTTCTCCCACCTTTTCCTCTTTCCCCTTTTCTCCCACCTTTTCCTCTTTTTCCCCTTTCTCCCACCTTTTCCTCTTTCCTTTTTCCCCACCTTTTCCTTTTCCCCTTTTCCCCCACCTTTTCCTCTTTCCCCTTTTCTCCCACCTTTTCCTCTTTCCCCTTTTCTCCCACCTTTTCCTCTTTCCCCTTTTCTCCCACCTTTTCCTCTTTCCCCTTTTCTCCCACCTTTTCCTCCCCCCACCTTTTCCCTTTTCTCCCACCCCTTTTCCCTTTTTTTTCCCCTTTTCTCCCACCTTTTCCTCTTTCCCCTTTTCTCCCACCTTTTCCTCTTTCCCCTTTTCTCCCACCTTTTCCTCTTTCCCCTTTTCTCCCACCTTTTCCTCTTTCCCCTTTTCTTTCTTTTTCCCCTTTCCCCTTTTTCTCTTGTTTTCTCTTTTTTCCTACTGCCCCCCCTGTTTTCTCCCCGTTTCTCCCCATTCCCTTCCCCATTCCCCCCGTTTTTCTTTTCCCCATTTTCTCCCCCCAGTTTCTCTCTTTTCTCCCCGTTTTTTTTCTCTCCTCATCTCGTTTTCTTTCTCCCCCCTTCTGCTCTGTTTTCTCTTTTTTCTCTCCCCGTTTTCTCTCCTCCTCTTTTCTTTTTTTACAATAATGTTTACCCTGTATAAGGCCCAAAAGCCACTCAAAGTAGAAAGTTACAGAATACGAAGCACAGCTTATGTAGGGATATGTGAGGAAGATAACAGTTGACCCTAGACTTGAACAGGCCAAGATTGTAGTAACTGGAGAAGCATTCTTATGGGAGTTGGTTCCACAAACAGCGGTTCATGGGATGAAGCTGCTCCAGTGGAACTTACATTTCACCAATGGAATACAAAGAGAATGTTGGTAGTTTGCTAAAATCTGTGTGGCATAGTGTGTCTTAGTCATGAAGGTTAGGACTGTTGGAAGTAAGGAATGTACTATGCCAGTCTAAACATTAGAAGTATTGTCAGAAACATTTTGGTTGCTGAAATATTAATCATGCTTGATCTTGCAGAAGTAATTATTTTCTACAGAAAATTTAAACTAGAACGCCTTGATTTTGAAGATGAAGCCAGAAATGTGCCTCTACTCTGGTATACTGATAATTCTTCTCTTCATGACACAGTGTATTCTTTCATTCAAATCCTAAACAAGAGAATACACACCAAAATTGTTATCCTTGGTAAAATAATGGTAATATTTCAGTCAACGCATTGCAGATTCTTTAACAAAGAAAGGCCTTCTTCATTGATTCTTATATGTTTGTCTAAACAAACAAAAATCTTTGATACGATCAAAATAAAAATATCTTCCTTCAGGACGTAGGCGATCATGGGTCTCCACAATTTCCTGTCCTTTATAGCTCTTAATAAGTTTTGTCTTTTTGTTATTTCTCATAAATCTTGTTCCGCCATCCATTTTCTCAAGCTTATTAGGTAAGTTATGCGTTTTTTTCCTTTGTCCCTCTTGCCTTTAATCTGTCCTGTGATTATAAGATTTTCTAAGCCTTCTTTCCTCATTATGTGTCTTAGAAATTTCAACTTCCTGATGTTAAGTAAAAGAGTATTGAACTGTTACGTAATATCAGTCCTGGGCAGTGAATGCTGGACAATCTCCTCACAGATGAAAAGAAGACTTGATGGAGCAGAAATTGGGTTCTACAGGAGGATGCTGAGGATACAATGGACCAAACATTTGAACTATAGATGGCATAAAGAAAAGATTGGGATTGTTAAAATGAGTTATTGATCTTGACTAAAAAGACCTTTCATCATTTGCTGTTGGTATGAAGACATGCATGAAAGCAGCTTTTTTGGGGGGTATCAAAGCTGGGTCTCAAATCTATTGCCTATTCATGTTATGTTGTGTTATGAATATACCACCTATACGTGTTGCGTTATGATGATACTGCCTATCTGTGTTGCACTATCATTACACAGCATGTTACATTATCAATATGCAACCTACCCGTGTTACATAATCAATATATTTTTTATTATTAAAAATTGTTTGTTTTTTTTTTTTTTTTTTTTTTGGTGTTGCTAATACTGAGATGTCAGATAAGGATTTCTTTTAGAATGTTTCATCTTGTTTTTATTGGCAATCTCATTTTACTGTTTGATCTTTTATCCTCTTTAATAATTGTTGATTGAAAAGCTGGCTGTTTAAAAAGACTTACAACACCTTTCATTTTTTTTTTCCATGCTAATTTTCAACATGTCTCCACTTCATACCATTTAGGATGTATATGACCAAGAAACTGATTAAAAGAATTAGTTTCACAATGTGCTTTTTATTGTTGCTAATAATAATAATAATAATAATAATAATATTCCTGACAAGAAATTTAGTTTTTATAACACCTTGAAAGTTTTTTATTTCCTCTCTAAAAATATACCATATTTGACTAGTTTTACTATTGAGAAGAATTTTTCTGTTTGTCATGTCGCTTCAGGAAAAAAAAAAGCAGATAAAGTGCAAATATAAAATTTCATAATCAAAAAATTATTGACTTGTTTTATAAAAATTGCTTTCATATGACAAGAAATAGACTAAAGACAGGAAAAATTTTAATGACCCCTTACTACGACAATTCTGTTATTCTGACTCACTACTTGATCATCTTTATGTGCTGTGTCCCTTCAGATGATCATGGCTCTTCACAATTTCCTTTCTTTTCTAGTTCTTAATAAATTTTGTCTTTTATTTCTCCTAAACCTTGTTCCACCATCCATTTACTCAAACTCACTAGGTAGGTTATGCATTGTTTTCCTTGTCCCCCTTCATTATGTCCTGTGAATATCGGATTTTCCAAGCCCTCTTTCCTCATTATGTACCTTAGAAATTTCAGCTATCACTTCCTGATGTTATGTATAAGAATACTTTTGTTTAAATTTTCTCTTAAATTTTGTCATTGCTCACATGTTCAGTCCATGGTATTTTCAGCATCCTTCTGTAGAACCACATTTCTGTTGCTTCAAGTCTCTTCTTTGTCTGTGAGGAGATTGTCCAGCATTCATATAAATTGTTTTATATACATAAATTGGATCATTGTCAGGTATCAATCAACTTAAATCTACAAGATAAGCTGATCTGTTCTGTGCTGTTCATGAATTGGAACAGAATAAATAGATGATGCAAAGAAAAAAAAATGATTTCCAGTCTTGTATCAATGATCTCAGTGATGTAAGTGAAGTATTGATATATTTTTGCTCACTTAGTTGAAAAATTAATAAAGTGACTGTAAATTTTTAAAATCTTTCTGTTCAGAAAGCAAACATTTGTTGTCAGTATGGAAGAAATCATTTTGTTGGCTACATCCTGGTAATTTTACAATGGTTTGGATGGATTTAAATTCCAGCACTGTAAAAAAAAAAAAAAAAAAAAAATGCCTGGATATAGGCCACCAGAAAAACTCTGAATCCTATTCATATCCACTCTCAACAACTCTGGGAGCCATAGCATTAGAAAACAAAAATTCGTTTGTCAGCGATGTGTGTGCCTTCACAAGCACTAAATATTATTTTTGTGGTGGATCACGTCACAGTCATAAAATGTATCTGGCTGGGGGCCATGTGTCAAAAATGCACTAAAAAGTGGCACTTTTCAAAAGTATGTTAGTCGGTTGCTACTTTGGTCACTTTGTTACTCAATTTTATACATTGGCAACCAATATGCTACCTAGTTTATTAAAACAGGCTTTGGTGTACATATTGATTGGCAAAAATGACGCTATTGCTCTAATGGACATTGGTAGCTCTAGATCCTTTATTTTGCTTGGCTACGCAAAATGACATCAGTTAAAAATAAAACCTGTAGTTTGGAATAATGTCCATGGCTTTGTCATCTCTTAGCGCTTCAATAAAAGGACAGTGCATCATCAATTTAAATGTATTAGGTGAATGGTATTTGAATGTTACACTTTGTTTTCTTCCCAATCATTGTAGTGATATAATTCTTAAGCAAGACATCAGGAACCAACTTTCTAGTTTACTTTTGCATTTGGCAGTCCTAAGAAATCCCCATCTATTTTGAGTCCAACTGTTTGTAGCCTAACATATATGATAGTAGAGAAACCTCCATTATTTTTTAATCTTGATCCTAACTAGAAACCTATTTCTACAAAATCTAGGTGATAAACTACCAATAAACACTTTATTAAAACTGAGGTTAATAAAATGCTAAGAGATGGAATAATTAAGGAAAGCATGTCTCCTTGGTGAACTCAAATTTTTATTGTTGCCAATGAACAGTATAAAAAGAGATTAGTTGTGGATTATTGTAGAACTATTAATAGATTCACTCAATTCTATGCTTACCTCCTACCATGAAATCTCTAAATATAAAATTTATTCTTCTTTGGACTTGAAGAGTGTATATCACCAAGTATCCATTCAAGGGGAAAACAAACAGTACACTGCATTTAAAACTAATGGCAAATTATACCAGTTTTGTTGTATTTCATTTGGGGTTACGAAAGGGGAATATTAAAACATTTTAAATTCTCTCTGAACCCGCAGATGAGAGAAAGGGTCAGCGACCTAAATGTTCATATTTGAAAATAATTACCACGTAATGAGAAAAAAAAATAAACTACCAGGAACAGTGAAATGAAAAAGTTAATCCTGTCCAAGCCTTCGGTCTGGGCGGACAAGTTTGCTGTAAATGCGACAGTCCTGTGATGGTATGCAAAAGTGAGTTGCCGAGTAAGCTATAGATTTGGTTGGGTATGCGAAAGTGAGTTCACTTTCAAATGGAATGGACAGACAGCTATGAAGGTGATAAGTGGTTAAAAAAAAATTGGTTATGTGAAAAAAAAAGTCCCACTTCGAACTGAACAGATGACCAACTACAAGTGCGATGAACACGAAAGAAATGCTTGGATTCTGTGAAACAAACTCTGGTGTACAAAGAATGCTGTTACATCGAGACGAAGGGGAGAGAGAAAACAGTTTCAACTTAATTGTCACCCAAGCCCCTAGACAAGACATAAAGAAAGGACCTCAAAAAGAGATGTTTATAATACACAAAGAAATAGAGAGGAAAGGAAAAAGGAAGAAAAATGAAAAAAAAAAGTAGCTATAAGAGACATTAGTGAAAAAGAAATTTTCTGACGACAGATAAGTTTGTTGTTTTTCTTATGTTTTCATTTCGTTGAATGTATTTTTATGGTTGTACTTTCATGCAAGTCTGGCATGAGATTCTTTTATTATTACATGTTTCTGTCTGCTTCTTTTTCCTTTTCACGTTTTTTCAAATTCGCACAAGTATGGCACATGTTCTGTAAATTTGTGCAAGTGGGGCACAAGGTCATACGTTGATTTATAATTTACTATTTTGTCCACAATGTTTATTTTTGACACATTGTTATTTTGTTTTGCCCTTCTTTCATTTTTCCCTTGTTTGTCTGTTTAGTAATAAATTTATTCCTTATTTCTCTATATCTGGCTTATCGTTGTTTGTTGCCTATCATATTTGTTCCTTAATCGGTTCCGTTCAGCTGTGTTTGATCAGTCGAAAAGAGACCCCTGGGGAAGGAAACATTTTATGAGAATTGTATAAATGAAAAAAAATAACAACACAGGTTATGAGCCTCCTCTATCTCTGCTAGCTATATGGTTGTAGGATGAGAGAGGGTTGTAACACACATATATATATATATATATATATATACACACATTCTCTTTTACTTCTATTCTTTGTATTCTTAATCTGCTCTTAGCCCAGTTGTGGGCCACTCTGTTTATCAAAGCCTTCTTTAGTTCTTTTCCTTATTACAATCACTGGGCTTGGTATTGCAGACTTAAATTCACTGATAACAGGGCAAGCAATAACCGAGAAGTACTAAATAAGAACTAGACAAGATATCCCGAGACACAGACAGCTGTGAACAACCTCGCTTCATAGATTAAATAAATGGTTCAATTTGAATTTCCTTGACAGCTACTCAGATCAATCTGCACTTGAAGAAGGCAGGCAGGCAGGCTGGCACAACAGTTGAAACATGATAACAAAAAAAAAAAAAATGAGAACTATATTCTAGATGTAAACAATGCAAATAAAAATACAAATTATCATTGGTATTTTTCAACAGCAATTTTCAATGTAGAATTTACTTTGGGCTTGATTAAAAAATGAATAGTACACTACACTCTTGTTTATATATTTCAGGTTAAATTTTGTATCTTCTACTTATTGGCTAGTTGTGCATTAAAATGCCCATTTCAGATCTCAAGGATTAGTGTCAGATTATGTAAATTCGCAATAATCTTATGGGTTGTTAGACATCTAGACTTTTATATCGAGAGCAGATAATTCTACTTTTACTTAAAGTGTCTGCTAATATTACACACACACACACACACACACACATATAGGTACCTCTACTTTTTCACTGCAAAAACAGTATGGCATGATGAAAAAAGGCCCCAAACTTAATAAAAACTAAGTTTTATTGTCAAAATGTTAGTGTTATTATTAAGAGGAAAGACCAAAGTGTTTTTATTATTTTATTGGATTTTTTTAATCATGTCTGAAATTTTGGTTAAAAATCTTGTTTATTTTGTTTACATGGGTGGCCTGCATAATATTTACAATTTTTTTTTTCTTACATATGTTACCCCAATCTTAATTTCATGAAATTTGGAGAAATTAAATTTCAATCTCAAAATTTTATTTTTTTTAGTTAAAAGCAGGATTCTTTGGAGAATGTAAATTACAGTTTTATTTTATTTCTTTTCAAACTACAGCTTATTTCCTGAAAATATTTATTTGTTCTAAGGATGTTTTATTTGTTAAAACAAGAGAATAATAAGAAAATTTAGGGTGAGTGCTATTTTATGTAATTTTTAATTACTCAATAATCTTAAAAATGCTAGAAAATATTCTTCGTAATCTAATTTTAGGAATGTTGAATTTAAATTTACTTTTATTTTCTGATTATATTGTGTATTGTTGACTATACTTTCAAATAGAGGCAAGTTATGTGATATTTTATATACATAAAATAAAATTTTAAAATAATATTGAGTGTAAACTATTTTTGAGCTTTTCTATTTCTGATTTGTAAATATAGTTTTCACTTAATAACAATATCACCGAAATGGATTGAAGTAATGCAGAATTTTAAATGATTTAATTGAAATTTAAAAAAATCAAAAAAATTCTTGTAAAAATATCTAATTCATTGAAAAAAGAATTTTTCTTAAGACAATAGTGTCCTTAATAAATCTTATTTATAAAAGCAATTAAAAACTTTTGTAATTAATGTCATAGTTATTGCATTTTTTATTTTACAATTCAGAGCTGATTTTTGGTTACTGGGTGTTCTGGTTTACAAAAAAAAAAAAATGATTTAAATTCTCCAAGGGAGACATGCTTTTAACTAATAAAACAAATTTTGAGATTGCTGTTTAATTTCTCCTAATTTCATGAAATTAGGTGGGTGGGTAGTTGTAAGAGTTAACATGTAAAAGAAAAAAATTTTTTTTACCAAGATAAAAAAAAATAGTTTCATTTATTTGTGAATAAGTTTTGAAAATTTTCTTAAAATCTGACAATTATTTGATTTTTGCAAGAATTTCAAAATCAATGTTTTTCACCTGAAAAAAAAAAAGGGGGACTAAAACGCTATTTGTAAATTTTACATTGACCGCTGATGCAAAAAAAAAATAAAATTTTTAACCAAAATTTCAAACATGCTAGAAAGGATTAAAAAATTTAGTAAAATAATAAAAAATAAAATAGTGTTTTTTTTCCCTCTATTAAGAGGAAAAAAAAAAAACAATATTTTTTTTTTTTTTTTTTTTTTTTTTATAACATTTTGATGATAAAACTGTGTTTTTATTAAGTTTGGGTCTTTTTTTTTTCATCATGCTATGCTTTTTTTTTTTTATTTTATTTTTTTCAGTGAGCAAATGGAGATGCCTAGTCTTTATTTGCATGACATTGTAGGGTTTATAAGTGCTTTGTTGTTTTTGATAAAATGACAAGCACTTACCATCTGAGATTAAGTGAAACACCTTTCAGGCTTCAATCTAATAATCTAACCAATAATAACTAATTAATCAAGGAGAAACATAATTAATTGATGCTTAGAGAATGTCTGTTTTTAGTCCTTTTCTGTTTTTTTGCTTTGCTTAGTTTTACTTTTTTTTTCTTTTAGAATATAGATGATGTGCTGACTGCTCTGCTGTCCATGGGATTTGAGCTGGAAGATAGTCAAGCTGCTGTCCAGTCTGGAAGATTGACTGTTGAGTCTGCAGTTGAATGGTAAGTGTCCAAAGTCACATGTTCAGACAGCCTAATCAATAAAGAATGTTTCTTGACTTGCCTGCCTTTTACTTCCTGCCAGTAACCTGCATATATATCGCCCTACCCTTAGAGCCAGTGAAGTCAATACTTGTAGGATTCTTCTTCATTTGTCATATCTCCTCAGGATGTTGTTGATCATCGCTCTTCACAATTTCCTGTTCTTTGTAGCTCTTAATAAATTTTGTCTTTTTGTTAATTCTCCTAAGCCCTGTTCTGCCATCCATTTACTTAAGCTCATTGAGTAAGTTATGCACTGTTTTCCTCTGTCCATCTTGCTATCAATCTGTCCTGTGAGTATCAGATTTTTCAAGTCCTCTGTCCTCATTATATGCCTCACAAATTCCAACTCTCTTCCTGATGTTAAGCATAAGTTTCCTTTTTGTTTCCATCTTCTCTAAAACCTTGTTGTTGCTCATACTCCATATTATCCTCAACTTCCTTCTGTAGAATGACATTACTGTTGCTTAATGATTATAAATTGATTTTTTTATCATGTTTTTAATCTTCTGATAAAAAAGTAATACCATAGACAGAACATGTGAGCAATGACGAAGTTTGAATGAAAATGGGAACAAAAAGGATATTTATACTCAGAAAGTTGAAATTTCTGGGAAACACATTATGAGGAAGAAGGGCTTGGAAAATTTCACACCCACAAGGCATATGTAAGGCAGGAGGGTTGGAGGGAAGCCAATATACAAGTTTATATAAATGGATGGCAGGGCCTTGGAAAGATGGTAAGGCAGCAAACTTTGCTTTGAGCTACAAAGGGAAGGAAGCTGTGAAGCGCCATGATCGCCCATGTCTTGAAGGGACACAGCACAAAAGATCAAATATTTTGATAAATGACAAGAATGAGATGCAGTGTTTTCATCAACTTATACCATTTTTCTTGCTTTGATCACAAGTTAATGAAACCTTGTGATTGAAGCAACAAAGAGGGGAAATAGTTATTAGTATTCTTTGAATAAAAAGAGTAAATCATTATGAAATTCAGAGGTGGATATTGTGGTTTCCTTGATTCAAAGATTTTGAACAAGCTGTTTGAAGTTTAAACTTCGGACAGTAAGTGTACTTGGGTGCTTTATACAATATCTTGGAGGTAAATGGATCAGAAATAAGTAAACCACTGTTGGGATTTGAACCATAAATTGGCCACTGTATTCATTATTTATAAAATTCATTCTGTGGTTGAGTTTCTATGATAAATATTTAGGGAAGATATTTATTTTGCCTATGTAGATGTTGTATTTGTTTTATTTGGTCTTTTGTAGACTAACTTCTTTTCTTCCCCAGTCTTTCATACACTGCATATTTATATTTTCTCAAATTTCATGGTCGCCATAATTTGGTGTCAATTTGTCAGTATAAAAGTAATATGGCTTTCCCATGAGATTCTTTTTATGTATGGATGTCCATGAGGTAAGTTTTTTTTTTTTTTTTTTTTTTTTCAAACTACAGCCTAAGACTTTGATTGACTGATATGAACAGTTTTTGCAGATAAAGAGCTTAGTATCAAGTGATTGAGAAATAATAAAAAAAAAACAAAAACTTCCCTATCAGGTGGAATTTAAGCTATCACCTGTGGAGGGCTTTTGATTGGCTCTTTAACTTCTTCAGGAGTTTGTGAGTCCCTAACTCTTTGCATATTCTCAGCATTGGAAGCTCTCTTGGTTTTCATTTGCATGGGACTTTTTTTTCCTTGCTATTGGTGGTTTCTTTTTGTGAGGTATAATGCTGCTGTATGCAATAGGCAATTATAAACTACAGAAGAACTAAAAATTGATTGCTGCATTTAAGTATTGCATTAATATTTAAGCTTACTTTTAATAGTTCAATGATAATTCTTCTGCCACCACTTAATTTAGACATTTGATGTACGTAGCCGTCCTTACTGTCTGTAAAAACAATTATTTTTATTTTATGGGTGACATTTGCTGGATTTTGTAATTAACATCAATTATTCCCAAATTTATTTGCAAGTTATAAAAATTGTTATTGCACAAAAAATTTTGTTGCAAAAAAATCACGTAAAAAATCGCCAAATACAATTGCAATAATGAAAACTTAGGAATCTAAAATTTCAAGATTGCATGCCTGGATCTGGTCTGGAATGTTTTTAATTTTTTCATGGAATTGCCTGATTCCAAAATGGTATGATATATTGGGCTATGGCCTCTAGGAGTAAAGTTGAAAAAGTGTGACACACTGACATTTGCATTTATGTAGATTAATAGAATAAAATAATTTACTTGTGTGTGAATTTGAACTTTAACTTTCATAGATACCTTAACATCTACTCTTAGTGAATTCAATATCAACCATAATGAACTATCTTATTATCTATCTCCCCTATTATTATATATGCCTACATATTTATACCTATAGATTTGCTAGAAATGAGCATACATGATGAGAAAAAATTTTTTTTTAATAAAAACAAAGTTTTATTATAAAAATCTTTGTTATTATTAAGAGGTAAGACCAAAGGATATTTTGATGCAATTTTTTTTTTTAATCCTTTTTAGAACCTTTTCAATTTTGGTTAAACATCTTGTTTTTCTGGTATCAATGTGGCACAACATATTTGTGTTGGAAATTTTAACATTTTTTTGCAGTAACAAAAAAAATTATTTGGAAATTCGTGCAAAAATCTGATTGATTTTAATGAAACTTTCAGCACTTATTCATAAATAATTTTTTTAAACATTCACTTTTTAGAAAATCTTGATAAAAATATATTTTCTTTATCTGTTAATGTTACTTAATTTTATGAAATTTTGAGTAATTCTTTTTTTTTGTAGCACTTAAATGTTTATATTAGTTATAAGGACTAGCCCTTGAAGAATTTTTTGGTCAAACAGGACAGTCAGTTACAGAAAATCTATTCTGAATCATGAAATAAAAAATGCAATAGAACTAAGACATTATTTCATTAAAAACCTTTTAATTGCTTTTATTACTAAAATATATTATGGACGCTATTGTCATATGAAAAAAATCATTTTGATGAATAATGAAGTTTTATAAGAATTGTTTTCATTTTTTTTTAAATTTTAATTAGAATAATTTATAAACTTTTAAATCTTTAAAAATTTTATATTAATTTGTAGAGTTTAAGTGATATCATTATTAAATAAAACCTGTATTTACTAATCAAAAATAGAAAAGCTTACTACAATTCAGCACCCTCCCCCAGTATCTTAAAAAGAAGTTTGAATTTTTATAAATTTTCCAAACATCATGCTGTTGATAAATGTGTCAACACCTCTTAAAAACACCCATCCCTGTATTAAAAATGCTTTTATGTGATATTATAAACAAAAATAAGTAATAGTTTCAATTTGAATTAAACTTTAAATCAGCTAATCTTTCTCAAAGTATCAGAAAAATTTATTTTATTTTTGAAAGATTTTTTTTTTAATGTAGAGAATTATGCTATGTTGACAGATTTCTCAATATGGACAGTTTTATCGATTTTTACTGATAATCAGAAGAATAAATAATTCCAATCAATTTAAATTCTTTTTGAAATACAGCAAAATGCTTATTGGGAATATTAAATTTATGCTTGCAATTAAGATAAAGAAAAGTTTCAAGAAAGATTTTTCATTTTTGAAATGCATTTTAAACTTTAGGCATTGCCTTTTTTTCACTGTGTGCGTGTATGTGTGTGTGTATATATATATATATATATATTACATGACAAAGTGGAAAAAGTTTACTTGTTACATGTTTTGTCCTTCAGAACTTCATTGGACTAAATTTGTTGTTGGTAGGACTACACATGTGCACAACAGAGGGGTGTTGGGAATTTTAGAATTTTTTTTTATCTATTTTAAAGTTTTCTTTTTTTTTATATCACTTTTTTAAGTCGGTATTAGAAGATCTGCCAAGAATGCTGAAATTTACTGTAGGTGACCTTGTGATTAAGGTACTCTAGACATTCATGTCACAGTGAATTATTTTCTCCTTTGATCAGAGTAGCATTTTTTATGTCAAAATTGTGGTCAGTCTTGTTATGGTGGGCAAACAACACATTTGACTTATTATTTTGTAAAATGTCCCTTTTGTGTTCATATAATCTTTTATTTAGATTCCTTGAGGTTTCTCCTATGTATTTTTTGTGACAATTATTCCAGGTTTTAGCTTATTGTTTTTAGTATTGACTATGTCTTTTATTGTTTTGGATATAGTGGTGACAAATTTTATGTTGAGTTTAGATTGTTTCGATTGTAGATTTGATAGAATTAGTAGGCAGGATAATATATTTTTTGATTCATTGGGTTTCTCAGGAGAGTCTGTTTTTTGTTTTGGAATATTTTATGAACCTTTTGTTTTGAATATAGTGTGTGATATAAATGCAGGAGTAAGTGAAGATTATGAGGATATGACAAATAATGATTGACCCTAGACTTGAAGAGGTTAAGATTGTTGTGAATCCATATGAGAGTCTGTTTCACAAAGTATCAATTCTAAATCATGATTTATAATTATAAATTATAAAGAAATTTGTAAATAACTTGCTTTATTATTTTTGTTATTTACAATTGTAGGTGTGTGTGGTGTTATTGATATTGGCTTGGAATGAGAAATCAGAGAAATGAGTTTGAATTCCAGTTGAGTTTTTTATATTCACTTATGCACAAATACCCTTGGGAAAGATAATAATACATCAATTTCTTCCAGGGAAAATAGTAGAGCTTAAATAGTAGGGCTTGTATCTGGCAAAATCATTGTTAATCTCAAAAAATTAACTATTTTTTATTTTTACATTTTCTTTTTTTTTTTTCCCCTCAATAGGAGTAGATAGATTCGTTTATTGTCCAGTTCACATGCTCACTGTTTTTTTGAACAGCAGTAGGGGTTTATTCCTTATTTCCTGTTTAGGATTGGGTTTCTGGCTCCTTCTAAAATCTTTGCATTTTCTTTCACTCCCAGTAGCCCCTTGCATTTTAGTGGCATTATTGCCTTGCTTGGAGTGACTGAAAGTAATAAAAAATAATGTAATATTCACTCAAAAGAAAAGAATTATTCTTATAATCCAAAACGTTTCAACTTTAAATGACCCATGAAGAATTGATCAGCTATCAAAGCACAAATCAATTGGTTGACTTTATCTTATCAAAATAGACGTGTTCTTGGGATTTCTTCTGTTTTAATTATAACATTCATGTTGAGAAAGTTTAGCCCTTTATTTAATTAGAATTGCTAGTTTCCTGTGTAAACCCTTGCTAATTATTTCCTTTTAATAACAAGCTAAGTACTGAATTAATTTCTCTTTACTTAATGCTATTGGTTTGTTTGTGTGTCCATGCCATGATAACTGAGTGTATGGCAAAGAGACTCTCCAGGCATCCTTGTTTTGACATAGACAATATAAGCTTGAAGTAGGGTGTCATTTGAGTACACCAGAATAAGCACAATACAGAGTGAAATGTTGCTTTTGAGGTACAAAAAGTTTCTTTGACCTCACAAACAGATCAGATAATGTCAGATTTAACCATTGAGGTCATCAAAGGTCATTGGAAGTAGAATTATTTATAGTGTGGATTACAGCCATATATTCTTGGAGATACATTTCTACATGGAAATAACTTTGTTAGGTAAATTTTTCTTTTCTGTTGTTTAAGAAATATACAAAAAAAAAAAAATTTTTTTTTTTTTATTTGAAGCTCATTTGTTTTTCTCTTTGGTAACATTGAGTATCCATATTTTGTTTTTATTAAAACATCTTGATTTCCAGTATTTATATTAACAAATGAAATTATTTTCATATGTAAAGGTTTTTATTACTGAAGTATAAACATTAATTACTCATCTACTGCTGACATGCAATGAGTAAGACAGAATTGAATACTGTTGTTTAAAACAGAAACCTGTTTGATGAAAAATTCCTTTTAGAATACAGAATAATCTACTGCTGATGTTCCTATTGACAGGAATCACTTTGCCTGTTTTAACAAATTCTTTAATTATGTTAATCATGTTATTCTTGCAATTGGTCACTGTTTTTCCTTGTCAATTACAGGCTTCTTACTCAAAAGAATCGTCCGGCTAATACTTGTAGATTGTATGAGGTAAGTGACATATATTCTCTTCTTGTATAACTTGGACAATCTCCTTGCTTTCTTTATGCAGATTCCCAATAAGAAATTTTTCTTTACCATAAATTAATATTTATCATATTGATGGCTTTTATCACATTGCTGTCTCTTATGGCCAATTTATAAAAGAACTGTTTTTACTATTTAGAAAGTTATATCTTAATTTATACAACTTGGAACACATTGCTATCAATATGAGTCATGTAAATATAAACATCACCCCCTTTATTTTTTATTCATTTTTTTTTTAATGCTATGTTTCTTCAGGGCATGAATAATCATTCCTTTTTCCTGACTTCTTGGGAAAGACAGTGGAGTGGTTTCTAATTGCCTTCTCCATGGTTTTGAATTTAGTTGAGTCATTCTCTTAGACTGGCTACCATCCAAGGCTAGAAACTGTCTTCCCTGATATTTAACTCGTATGTGGATGAGTAGAATCAAAGGAAAATATAATATAAAGCTTAATCACAGTACCTTGTCAGTCGTCTTCATTGAAACCTGTATAAAAGAAGGATGGTGCCCAAGCACACACACACACACACACACACACACACACACGTGTGTGTGTGTGCGTGTATATATTGTCATTTAAGGAATGTTATATGTGTAAGTAGATTTTTTTTGTATGAGCAAATGGTTATGCAAATTCAGACTTAACCTCTTGACATCTTTTCAAGGTCCAATGGAAAAGTTGGGCTCCCATGACAAATGATAGAGGATCAATTGCAGTTAATGATCGAACCTGGTTCCACTGCTTCTCTATTAAATCCATATCTTGGGCAAGAAGGAATGGCGCCATAGCTTTCACAAGGCGTTTTACTATAAAATTGAATACAATAGACAATTTGAACTTGGCCTGCCAATTCCACTTTCTGCATTCAAAACTACTAGAATACTTGCATGTTCAGGAATAAGTTACAATGCACAGCTATTTTTTTTATTTATTTTTTTTTTTTTTTTGGTAGGCTCCTTTGTTGGATGGAAAACTTTATCAGTTTTAGAAATTTAGTATTACATTTTCAGAACTTTTTGTGTCATGTTGGTGTGTTGAAATTCAAGAGGTATTTAAATATGAATATATTTCAGAGTCTGTCCAAATATACATATCGGGACCCCTTTCTTGCTCTACCTCGTGCATCACTTTCAATGAACTACTTCCTAGATACTTTCATGGTCTAACACCTTAAGACAGTTTCAGTGTTTTATATTGTAACGGAATTTTTTTGTGCTTGATCAAAAACCTCAGATATTTGTTTTTGATCTTTCGAAATGAACCTGACATGTTGACCTTTCCCTTGTATTTTTCTTTTGTTGCAGGTCGATCCTGTTGTATCATCAAGTCCATTTGTATCATCTGACCCTTCTCCACCCACATCAGGTAACCAGGATGAGGAGTCTGGCAGTCAGACACCAGCTGATAAGCCAGAAGAGAATGAAGAGGAGAGTATCATCTCGAGAAGGTTTGTCAACTCAAAGCAGCGGGAAATAAAGGAAAAATTTGAAGAGAAACAAAGGAGTGAAGCACAGAGGTTAGCCATTTTGGAAAGGAAACAACAAAAATCAGTAAGTAGATAACTTTGTAACTTGCAGGGAAATCCTTGTCTGGAAATATTTTGTGAAATAAATTCGGATTATTACAGTTGTTTATTATTAGTTTTCTTAGGATTACCTCACTGTATTGAGATCCAGTTACAAAATGAATCTTGGCTTCTTTCTATTTTTGTATCCTTTAGATTGTTTTTTTATCCACATGCAGCCATTTTTTTCTAATATTATTCTAACATTTTTTCACAAATAAATCCAAGTTTTTCTAGCAGTTCAAACATATCTTTGCTCTACTTAATCAAATGTTTTTCTTTAATCTATGAAGCATATTTATGTCTTTCTGCATTATTCCCTCCTACAGCATTCTGAGCATTTTTGCTTTGTCTTTAACAATATATTTCTAATTTTACTATATGATCTATCTATCAGAATTCATATAATATGTAAGATCAGCCGTCCTTTATAAGTTGCTGGGAAATCCTAGCCTAGAGATATTCTATGAAATGAATTTGCATTATTAGGATTGTTTATTTCTATTTTGCTTAAAAAAAGCAACTGTCTCTTTCCCATAAGCCTACAGCTAAATCAAAATACCTGAAATACTGAAAATACTGGAGTTAACTGGCATAGAGCCTGATCATTGCTTAGATGGGGGACCACTTAGGAACACTGTGTACTGTAAACAACCTCTTATAATCCGAAATGTCTTGGCTTTAAGTAACCCACAAAAGGTTGATAAACTATAAAAAAAAAAAACTATGAAGCAATCTGTCCTATAATACATATTACATTTACATACTCATTTTATAGAGTAAATGTAACAATTATTATGGAACAGGTGGTATAACTTTTCATAATTTGATTAAATGAGGAAAACAGATTAAAAAAGAGTAAAAGAAACACCAACAAATTTTTCAAATGCTGCATTAAAGATATTCCATAATTCCAGCAAAGGCTTGTTGACCATCTGTTTAAGTACAATTTACCAAAAATGTCAATTCCCTTGAATAATTACATATAGTGATTCAGCAAATAGTAAGAGCATAGATAGAAATGCATTGCAAATGATTTTACTATAAAAATGCATTGCAAATTATTGCAGCTAGAACTTATTAAATTAAACAAATACATCCAAATTTGTTATTTACAGTAAAACTATTGTCCTCATCTTTGTTGTTATTATCTCAACATTTCAATCATTGTGCCTCAGGCCTTTGCCAGATGTCTCTTGATCCAGGTAACCTTCAGGAAATTTTAAAGGGAACCATTTATTTAATCTACAGCAGCCGACCTTAATCCAATTGTAAATAATGTAAATAGTGATAATTCTTCATCCCAGAATTTCAGACAGAAATATATTATATATACTAGCTTGAATAATTACATATAGAGTGAAATAGTAAATACTAAAAGTGCATATAAGTAAAAACAAATATAATATCAATATTGAAAAAAAAAAAGCTGATTCTTTAATACTTAACTATTATTGTTAATATTTGACAAGCATTTCTTTCATCTTATTAGGTTGGTACAAATATAATGATGTAATAACGTCGTTTTTTGACGTTAAAAAATATGTCAAAAAACGACATTATTACGTCATTATTTTTGCACCAACCTAATATTTATGTTGTTCTTTATTGACATTCTGGCTAATGTAGAAAGTTTCAGCACTATGTAAGAATAACTTGGACAGTAATCTGATTATGTAAATGATACACTGTAAAAATAATCAGTATATGCTCCAACTTGAAAATGTTCATAAAATTGAATAACTTTATGATAAAATCAGTAATGTTTTAGATGGAAAGAAAACAGATCAAACAGTTTTGATAGGCGACTTTGATGCAAAAGTAGGGGAAAGAAAATTGAGAGATTAAAATTAGTTAACTTCTGACAGATACAAAATAATAACTATAAATACATTCATTAGCAGCAGCAGCAGCAACTAAAATGGATAGTCAATGTAACTTGAGAAAATAATAACATAATCAAGATATTGATGTTCTGTACTAATTCAAACAAAAGATTAGGAAGGACACTTTCATCAATAGTGGAAATGTAATAACAGTGGACTTGAGAAATCCATTTTCCTGAAAAATTGTTTTAATAGAAAGATTTTATAAATTTCACCAAACTGAATGTTTCTATATAAATAAACAGCTATTAGTCATGCAAAATACTAGAGGCTCTAATTAACTTTGAATTGATTAAGCATTTTACTTTGCATAGCCTTCTTTCAAATAAATAATATTTGCTTTTAACTGTTGGTGTGTTAATTGTTACTACTGAATTTGTCTATCTAACTTTAGATAATAACAGTGAGGCTTAGGCTAAAAGGCATTTGACAGAGTTTGGCATATTGGCTTTCTTCATGAGCTTGAAGGGCTATGGTATCTCTGACTGAATATTTGACATGATCCAATCTTTTTTAACAAATTGTGTAATAAAAGTTGTGGTAAATGACCACTCTTCTAGATCCTTTCACATTAATGTGGGAGACCCAAGGGCTCTAACCTTGGACCCATATTGTTTTTTATCCTCATCAGTGACCGACTTGGTATTTACTCCTATATCAATAGTAAGTCCAATATGTTTGACAAAGTAAAACTGGCAGCTGCTCTCAAAAATTACCTCCAATCAATTGTTAGCTGAGGCAGAAATAGCTTATAAATTTTAATGATTCCAAAACAAAATGCTATCTTTTAGTCATCATAGAAAACTATTTTTGCCTTTCATCAGTATGACAAATGCTAACCTCCAGAGGAGCAACTCATTGTTAGTCTTAAATTTTCCACTGACATAAGTGGAAAGATAATTGATAGGTCTGCTGCTTTTTGATTGTTTATGCTCCACTGGATTCACTATTTAATCTGCCCTTTTTGTAGCTATTTTTTTTTTTTTTTTTTTTTTTTTTTTTTCTAAATCTGTGTTGGCTTCAACCTGAGAGATGAGTACTAAAAACATCCCCCCCCATGTACAAATCCTACAGATGCATGATGGGATTTCTTCCTATCCAATAAAAATATACCTCATCCACCATATTCTTTCTTGTCTTGAAGTCAGAAGGCTAGAATCACTTGACTCTATCTCTTTTTCTCTTGTACATACATCAGTTTTTTTAGTATTATTTTGACCTGTTCTTTTTCTTCCTTTTCTTATTGTTTATTGAAAACTTTGTCAATTCCATTTGTTGAGCATTTTTGCCAATTACACTTAACCATGGCCAATTACTCCACAATCTTTCTCTCTTCAGGCTCGAGCACTTGTTCTTCAACAGATAGCAGATGACAGAGAACAACAGAAACAGTATCGTAGCAATACAAGTGCTCTTGGCACTGGTGCCACAGCACAACCAGTAGCATCACCTACAGCGTCATCTCCACTGGCGGCAACTTCAGCAGAAGATGGGGATCAGTCTAGCCCAACTTCTCCTGCTATGTGCAATATGCAGGTAATAAGTATGATCTTGCATATTTGTGTGTGTGTGTGTGTACATGTGTAGGTAAACGTCAGTCTGTCTCTTATTTATACAGGGTGCTGCAGAAATAGCTCCTATAATGGTAAGATATTAGCTAGATGAAAAATACCATTGCCACTAATGTCTTACCATTATGTGGGAGGTATTAATGCTGTACCATATATATATATATATATATATATATTCTCTCAATTACTGTGTGTTTATCTACAAATAAATATGCTTAAATTCACCTTCATCCCTGCCGTGCACCAACATCTTAGTGGTAGAATCCGCCAATTCAGTGAGGTTTCAATCCTAGCTAGAGGCAACTGGATGTCTAGCCACACTGATAAGCTGTGAAACAGTCTGTTTGTGGATGACTATATATATATATATATATATATATATATATATATATGATAGGATAAAGAACAAGTAGGAAACAGATCTTAATCTAACATGTTTCACTTTATTAAAGTTTCGTCAGAGATCAAGATAGAAATGATAAAAAGCAAAGAGACGCAGATTAATGGTATGTTGTGTTTGATTATTTCTTATTGGTTAGATACGTGTCACATGTAATGAAGTAACAGAAAATATTCAGATATGTGTGACAAACATTCTGGATGCTAAAGTGTGTAAAAGTTAATGCGATGCTGCAGGATGTTTTGAAAAATTTTGTTTTGCTTTGATTTTTCATTAAAGCATATCTCATGCACATTTTGTATATATCTCCATTGATTTTTATGTATTCAGAAGAGATTCATGAATAATGCATATATAGAAAAATGATGATGTAATGCTTTTTAAACGTGTTAATAGTTGGTAGTATTGCTATAAATATATTTCATAATGTTTGCTCTTTGAAGGGTTATGTTCTTTTTTGATAACTTTAATTTCACAAATGTCAGCCTTATGTCCCACGTTGTTGCGGTGTAAGACGAGAGAATTTGAATGTTTGTTTAAACGCAAGTCCCTTTTGTGTTCCTGGTTGAGGGTTTTTAGATTGCGTGATGTCTCCCCAATGTACATGTTATTGCACTGTAGACAATTGATTTGATTTGATAAACTCCAGCATTTGAATTGGTTTTTTATTTTATTTTTCATCCTGATTATATCTCTGATAGTTTTGGAGGTGGTTGTAACAATCCTTGTATTAGGGATGACTAATTCATCTGCGAGTTGAACTGTTGGTGGTAGGATTATGAATTTTATATAATTTTTGTTAGAAGTATTTGTTTGGTTTTATGGATTTTGTGAGCTTGTTTTTTTGCATTTTAGATGAAATGGTATGGATAGTGTAGAAGTTTGAATGTGTTCTTAATATAATCCTCTTCTTCATTAATGTATTCAGGACTTCATATCCTAAGGACTCTAAGGCAAAATATTCTTTATATTAAAGGTAAAAAATTCATTGGTATATAATCCAAGTGGATCCTAGTAATATCAAATATTAAAACTGAGCCACAAAAAGAGCTCAATGTAATTATTAATACAGAGTAATGCAATTAATAAACAAATAAATTCCAAATTACCTCATATGGGGAATAGCCTATTTCAGCAGACAATGATATCGGTCGTCTGTCTTATCAACCCTGGTATTGAATGAGTTAGATGAGGCAGGAAGTAGAATTTAACTGTGAAAGAAAATCAACCTAAATCCAACTTGCTGAAAACATCTAATATAGAGTTTACACATTTCATTGTCTCGATCAGATGAAAGGCATAACACAGCAGGGGTCAGGAGAGGGTGGAGAGTATCTGTCTTAAAGGTAAGAAGTTTTAAGTTGGGTTTGCGTTGATATATATCTCATCATTTTTCTACAGATCTATCATTCATGAATCTAACTTATCTCTTCTGAATACATAAAAACCTATATATATATATATATATATATATATATATATATAATATATGCAAAAGATATACTCTAATGAAAAATTGTTCAAAATATCCTGCAGCGCCTGACTAACTTATATATATATATATATATATATATATATATATATATATGCAATCCTCAGATGACTTGAATGCTTAAGTTGTCTGAAGATCTGAAACTCTGGTTATTACTAGGGCCATTATTTCAAAGGATTTAACGTTAAGCATTTTTTGCTCTGTCTAAGAACACTTTGCTTTATGATTAAGTAAGTTTGCTTTAGGTCTTTTTTCTCTTTTATTCTTCTTTCTTTTTTTTTTTTTTTGTCAGTATTGTTGTTTTTATTAGATTTCATCTGGATAAGAATTTTAGGTTTTGGCATGTCGTAAGTTGGTTCCATCAATGCCTTTTTCATTTTTTTAATACACACACACACACACACACACACACCCATATATATATATATATATATATACACACACACACATATATATATATATATATATATATATATATAATAAATAAGTTTTTGTGGTACAGAATTTAATATTAGGTTGGTGCAAAAAATAATGATGTAATAATGTCGTTTTTTGACGTATTTTTAACGTCAAAAACGACATTATTACGCCATTATTTTTGCACCAACCTAATAATAGCTAGGAAAAGGCAAAACTTATAAGGCATTTTTTAAAAAAGCTAAAAAATGAAAAACAACCAGTTTCGTCCCAGGACTTATCAAGTTTATGCTACAGAATCACAAAAAAAAACAAAAAACTGGACCAGGTAACAGTAACCTCACCACTGGAGGACTTTCAATGGCAGCAACAACTAAAATGGATAGCACATGCAATTCAAAGAATAAAGACATAATCAAGATATTGATGTTTCACTCAAACAAAAGAAGGAAGGAAAATCTCATCAGTATTAGAAAGAGAATTAACAGCTACTGGACTTGAGAAATCTATTTTCCTGAAAAATTGTTTTAATATAAAGATTTGATAAATTTCAACCAAATGCAGCACCGGCTGCTCAGTCAATGAATGCTAAATGTTTCCTTATATGGAAACTGCTGATAAATTCATTACTATTTGTGTTGCTAAAATTACCAAACTGAGTTTAGATCTTTTTACAAAATTTTTTTTTGCAGATTCGACATCCAGATGGGCAGAGCCTACGACATACTTTTGATGGTTCCACACTTCTTCAGGATATCTGGACTTATGCAACTGAGAACTTTACAGATACAGAAAACATGTGTTTGATGCAGGTCAGTTAACACATCTTCTTTTTATTTATCATCAATAAAACTTGTATCTTTTTGTATGACATACTTAGCTCTCATTCTCTTGTATGTTGAGATCAAATTGATTAAAAAAAATGCACAAGAAACTTACTTTAGATTTCTCTCTGGATTTTTAAGATGGGAACTTATACGCTAAATTATTCTAAGTAGTGTCTTCATCTTTGTTGTTATAGTCATAGTGTTTCAGTTATTTCTGGGTTGAGGAATTATCACTGATTTATGTCAACTGTTACCTTCATCTTAGTTTTTATGTTACAATGTCTTAGTTATTTTTATGCTTGTAAAAGACTGAAGGTGTGCAATAATCTCAAATGTGTTTGTAGCATTACTTTCTTAAATACATACAGGAAAGTATGTGATAAATAATGTTTTGCTCAGCTTCTTCAAACATATAAAAAACATGAATGTTTTTTGTACTTGAATTGAAGACTACAAGTACAGATGTGTTCTTTTTGAAATTGTTCCAACTATCAGAGCTACAACTAAAAAAAACAAAAGCCACTACTGTAATTTTTATGATGGCCATTTTGTAAATGTCTCCAATTTTAATAGTGTCAAAGGGAGATAATGCATGTAGTTGTTCATGTCTCATTTGAAATTTTAAATTTGTTCTGAATTAAATCTGTTGAAGTAACATTTCGTTAGTAATGACAAATTATTTTGCAATCTGAATGACTTCTTTATGTGTATCTGTACACATCCAGAGGCATATTGAGACAGTGAAAATGTTTTCCAAAAGCTAAACAAATTATTAAGAAACAGGAAAATTTTGTTAGAAACAAAGAAAATAGTGCCAAAATGCTGTATAATATCAAGCCTCTTATATGGCAGTGAATACTGGACAATTTCTTTATAGATGAAGAAGAAACTTGAGGCAGTAGACATGTAGGTTTTTCAGAAGGATGTTGAGGGTACCATGGATGTGGCATTTTTTTTTTTTAGTTTTAAAGAAAATGGATGCCAAAAGATACTTAGAATCCGAGGCAGTTAGAATTTCTGGAACAAACAATGAGGAAAGAGTACTTTGAGAATTTGACACTCACAAGGTATATTTAAGGCAAGAGAGAAACAATGAGTAACCTACCTAATAAGGTTGTGTAAATGGATGTCAGAACAGGAAGAAGTGAGAAGGACAGCAAAAAAGATAAATATTTCTAAGAGCTACAAAAGACAGCAAGTTGGACAGAGGACATACAAAAAGTCTGTAGATATGATTCCATATCAAAAAAAAAAAAAAGAAAAGCCAACAGTATGCTTATGAAGCAGTAGCAAATGAAATTTCTTTTTAATTAATTATTGGAAAAAGAATAAGTTTTATTAATTTAGAATCACTGATAGAAGCAAGTTATTTAGTCTCCACTGGATGTGATGGTTTACATGTATTAAAAGAAAGTTTTTTATTTATTTTTTATTTTTTTTTAGCCATTTCCTCGTCGAGATTTTACCAAAGAAGATGCCAGCAAGTCTCTGATTGAATTGGGATTATGTCCCTCAGTTGGTCTTGTTTTGAAAAAAACTGATGGATCCCAACAGGCTTTTGGTAAGTAAATATTTCAAGTTAATTCTTCTATTAGTGGGTCTGCTTAGATGTTTTTTTTTTTTTATTTTTTATCTCCAAACACTCTGAACACTTATCATACGTGTCAGTCTGTGAGAGACATTGTTGAACCTGATTCCTTAGATGTGTGATTCAAGCCTTTGGTGATTAGCCTCCTGTCTATAATACCAGAACCTTTTGATGTAATATTTAGATAGTTTCCCCACCCCAAACAAAGTCTTATTTTATCTGAAATCAGATAGAGGCTTCCACAGATGGGAGATATGAAAAAAGAAACTTTTGGAGTAGAAGTGGTAGTTTCATTTAGCTAGTTCAACAGTAAAACTGTGAGACCTTTTCATCAAGCATGCTTTATGTTAAATATATTTGATAATGCTGCACAACATTTTTTTTTTTTTTTTTACGATATTATTTACTGATACAAGGCTTAAGAGCCACTTATGGTACCGGGTTACAGTCAACAAAAAGAACTGTTGCTTATTGTCTGTTCACACTCTCACCCAGTCTTTTGAACAGGAGTAGAGATTTATCCTTTGTTTCCTGTGCTTTCTAAAGTTTTTTCATTTTCTTTCACTCCCACTAGCCTCTTGCGTCTTAGTGGCATTATCACCTTGCTTGAAGTGAATTGATATAAAAAAAAAAAAATGAATGGAAAAGAAGGTAGTAAAAAATGAAGATTATGATTACAAGGATAAGGAAGAAAGATAACTATTTACCTTGATGAGGTTATGAGTGTTCAGGGAAACAACCATGTGGGAGCATGTTCCACAAAGTGATAACTGTCAAATATTTCACATTTAACATTAAGCATATTTTAGATTTTTTTTTTCTTTTACTTGGAGTTTGCATATTTATAGAAATCTGTTTGTTAAAACTCAAGCCAATAGTTTTTAATGATACTTTACACACTGTAGCCTTTTTATACTTTCTACTTTTAACACTTTTTTTTTTTTTTTTATTATAGTAAAATCAAATGGCCTTATTCCTTCATGTTATACTTGCATCTGGACTGAATTTCAGTCACAGTGAACTTTGTATTAAATGACAGCAAGGAATGAGGAATTGTAGAGCTGAGTTTGAGTTCTAGTAGGGTTCATTACATTCACTCATGCCCAAATAATAATCTCTCCCAGATATGGGTTAAATAGTAAGGCTTCTATGCAAAAAAATTGTTGTTATACTCAAAAATTTTTAATGCAGTATTCATTTGTTTTAAAAAATTCATTTCACCACAAGCAAGGCAATAAAGCCACTATGACACAAGAGGTTACCATGTGTTAGAGAATATGAGAAAAACTGTAAAGAGGACTAAACAAGAATTAAGAAAACAGAAGATAATGATTACATTGCGTTTAAATTTTTGAAGATTGAAGTTGACTGGGAAGTTAGAAGCCGGAAGAGAGTTCCACAAGCGAGAAGTGGGAGAGAAGAAAGTGTTAGCATAGAACTTATGGTTATATCTAACCATTATAAGACCTTTCTGCGAATCTAGTACTGTGCTTAAATTTATAAAATCTAGGTACTGTATAGGAAAGTTCATCAGAGCAATTACCATGAAAGTATTTATAGAAAAGGTACAGAGAAGCTACTTGCAAAAGAAGTAATTATTCTTATGATTCAAAATATATTTTGGCTTTAAGTAACCCAGAAAGGGTTAAGATGTAAAAAAATAAATAAAAAAATAAAACAATGCATGAAATTGGTTGTTATTTACCAGCACTTGGTGGAGTTGCATCTCTTTGATTAAATGTTACACAACAGAATCATGTGCAGTGTCTACTTTTTAGAGTGCAAATCTTTTGATATTCTCTGTTATGGATGCACGATTAGTCTAATGGTTAGTGACTTGGAAAAAAAGAAATCAATGTGTTCACTCTTTTATATTCCCTTTTGCACAAATATCCTTGGGAAAGGTGTAAATCCATCTCTCCTCAGCTATGAATTAAAAAGCAGGGCTGACTGGCTCTCTTGCCTTGAGGTCACAACCAGTCTCAAAATCTCTGAATTTAAAACTAGCCTAAAGAGAGACAGGCTATCTTGCCTTAGACACACAACTGTTGCTATAACTGTGGTGCCATTGTAACCCTTACGAGTTATGGGACTCATGATTTAATGTTTTTGCTCGACTATTACATACAGGTCACTGATGCATTGTGGGGAGTCTATTGTATTATTCTAACAGTTATTTTGGTGGGCAGTAATGCTTATGTTTCAAATTATTCTATTGAGTGGAAATAATTGTGGATTTGGATGTAGATTTTTTGACTGTAGTGTTTAACTTTTTTATTGATTATTTTATTGTTATATATATTTTATTGTGTGTGTGTGTGTATATATATATATATATATATATATATATATATATATATATAAGAACATAGAAGTCAACGCTTAGAGGTAACAGTCTGTTTCATGCTATATGCAATCGTCAGGCCATGAGTGCTGTTATTTTTCTCGGCTATTTATATATTTCTTTATATATATATATATATATATATATATATATATATATATATATATATATATATATAAGGTTTGAAAGTTATCAGCAGTCACCTGTCATCCATTACCCTGTGATGAACACAAGCAGTGTTTTCCTTGGTAGTGGCAGTTGCAGAATGTTCAGACCTTAGGGCATCTTCAAGACACTCCCTTCCACTCCTAAATTCAGCTGCCCACTTTTGCACTATTGATAAAGCTGGAGCATCATCCCCTAATGTAGCCGCCATATCAGAATGAATGTCCTTGGAAGTGAAACCCTTTTTCTGCAGGTACTTGATAATATCATGATACCAAATTTTGTCCATTTTCAAGAGAAGTCGCTATTAGTTACTTTTGAAGCCCTCTTTAATTAGTCAGATTCCAGTTTGTCTAGTTATTCAGGAGGTTAGAAAAAAAATTAGTAAATGTCATGTCTGGACTAAAACGCAAATTTATTTCCTTAGTCAATGATTTAAATTTGTTTTTAATATTAATTTGAGCTTTTTTACTTCAGATCTAGTAACTCAATTCTTTAATGGCTTTGAGAAGATTTAAATTTATTTTTTTTATATTTTCAAATTACTTTATTATTAAAGACTGGTATTCCTTCAATGTGTACCTGTATATGCAATTGGATCTCCATGATAGATTCCAAGTCCCCACTGCAAATGATAAAGCCCATGAAATAACAGAGGGGGCACAACTCTCCCCATTAAAAAATATATTCTTGGCCTCATTTTTTTTCAACTGACTTGAAGTGGAAGGACTACATTGAATCAATAGATGAATCTGCTGCAAGGAAATTTGTTGTGTCAGAAAGTTTTTCTCCTCAGAGTCCATCTTGTACATATACAAATGTAACATTCATCTGTGCATTAAATACTGTTGCTATATCTGGTCAGGTGCTCCTGCTACTCATTTTGAGGTTCTTGACAAAATCCCAAGAATGATCTGCAATGTAATTGATCTCAACTTCAGTCACTTTCTCATGATGTGGCTTCCCTCTGTCTTTTCTACAAATATTTTTATGTCAACTGCACTGACAAGCTTTTTTTCTCTGGTGCCCAGACTGCATTAATTTAAGTGTGCTACTAGATTGGCATCTAGGACCCACCCTTTTACTGTTGAAATAGTTAAATGCAACTGCCACTTTTACTCCACAGTTTCTTTTCTTGCACTTCCTGCCTGTGGAACTCCCTTCAGTTTACTTTCTTCCCTGACAACTACAATGTTCAAAAATTTAAATGCAATGTCAATTGCCATCATCATCTTGAATCCTGTTCATTTTTTTTTATCTTTTCTCCCCCATATCCAGTCTTTTCTCTCACTTTCATTCTTTGTAACCCCCCCCGCCATACTAGTGACATTCCTGCTTTGCTTGGGGTGAAATGAATACCAGTCTTTAACAGGTTTTGTCTAATTCATTTAACTTTTACAGTTGATTTTCTTTATAAGGTGACTATAAAATATAATAATGGGACGAGTTGTGTCTCCTCTGTCATCTAATGGGCATCATGGTGCACAGTAAAATGGCACTCAGCCTGAAATTAAATGCCACTGTATGAGTTAAATTAGCATTGTAGTCTATGCTTTCTAGCTTTGAAATTACAGCCAGTCAAGGAGATGAGTAACTTTGAATTCAAAACCGTGGAGAAAACAAGAAGAATCAAACTCCACTATTTTTCCCAAGAAGTCATGGTACTTAAGATAATTTAAAAAAATGAAATAATTTGACAGTGCTAATGTTTAGCAACCAGGGATACCAATATCCACATTTTTGAAAAGTTCTAATTAGTTGTAATTGAATATGGTGTAATAATTAATTTATTGCTGATTAAATTAAATAAAGATGATGCTACAATTAATGATTCGTTTTAAATTTTATTTTTTTAAGCAAAAGATTTTTAGCTTTTTGTCTTTCTAGCAAAAACAAGAAAAAAAAACTTAAATTTTCTAAAATTTGAATTAAAAAAAAAAATAAAAAAAAGGTTCTTAATTTCTTGGTGAGAAAGCTTTGTCATATTCGCTTTGTCACCATTAGTCTAAAGTGGATTCTCTGGAATTTATCTACTTAAGCTAACAAGGTCCTATTCTTTATAGTTTATTTCAAATGGCCCAACATGATTTTAAATTAAGTTCATCATAGCATTTTCTTCCATAAGATTTGGAAGTTGAAGTATTTTCTCATGGTTAATTAGTTTATTCATGCCAACATTTTTAATGTCCTAGGTTTTGCAATGTGAACCTTTTTAAATATATTTGAATTGTTATTGTTGTATTTGACTCTTTCTTGGAGTCATACTTTTCAATTCCCCATTTGATAAACATCTTCAATTTGTCTTTGCCATAAAACATTGCCACCTGACATTGTTAGTGCAAGGGACATAACTAACACAGCTAAACGTATTACTGGAACACAGACACACACACACACACACACACACACACACACACACACACACTTTTGTGTATTTAGGCAGCAATCCTTCTTTCATGCACAT